AACCACATGCCCTCTTGATCCCCTCCCCTCTTAACTTGTCCCATCTCTTTCCCATAGTCCTATCCCTAATGAATATTTTCAAACTCTCCTTGTCTACTGACGTCTGCCCCTCTTCTCTCAAAAATGCAATTGTTAATCACATCCAAAAAAAAGCCATCTCTTGACACTACCTCTCTTTCTAACGGCCATTCCATATCATTACTCTCCTTCACTTGTAGGCTTCTTGAGCGGGTTATACTTACCCGTCTAACTTACTTTCTTAATACTACCTCTCATTGGCCCAATTCAAACTGGCTTATGCTCCTTCCATTCTACTGAAACTGCACTAACCAAAATGACTACTGACTTAATCACTGCTAAGCCTAAGGGACATAGCTCTCTCTTGATTCTCCGTGACCTCTCTTTGATACTGTCTTTGATACTGTTGACCACTCTCATCTTCTTCAAACCCTCCACAACCTTGGACTCCGTGACACTATGTTTTCCTGGTTTTCATCCTATCTTTCTAACTCTCATTTAATGTTTCTTTCTCTGGTGCTACCTGCTCCCCACAGCCTGTTTCAATTGGTGTTCCCTAGGGCTCTGTTCTTGGTCCTCTTCTACTTTCCATCTACACTGCATCTCTCGTCAGTCTTATAAGCTCCACTGAATTTCAATATCATCTCTATGCTGATGATACACAGATTTACCTCTCCTCCCCTGATCTCTCCCCTGCTCTCCTGGAATGCATCACAAACTCCTTCTCTTCCATTGCAAACTGGATGTCTTTTCATTTTCTAAAACTTAATCTTTCTAAAAGTTAACTCCCCCAAAACAATCTTCCTCCATTAATCTCCCTGCACATCAATAGGTAGGGCTGTGCATGGGCAAATAATTTGGTTCGTTTCGGCACTTCCATTTCGGGCTAGGGTTAGTGGTAAGGTTATGGGTATGGGTATGGGTATGGGTAGGGTTAGGAGTAGGGTTGGGGTAAGGGATAGGATTAGGGGTAGGGTTAGGTGTAGGGTTAGGGTTAGGGTTTGTGGTAGGGTTAGGGGTAGGGTTAAGGTTAGGGTTAGAGGAAAGTTGGGGTAAGGGTTAGTGGTAGGGTTAGGAGTATGGGTAGGGTTAGGAGTAGGGTTGGGGTAAGGGATAGGATTAGGGGTAGGGCTAGGTGTAGGGTTTGGGTTAGGGTTAGGATTAGTGGTAGGGTTATGGGTAGGGTTAAGTTTAGGGTTAGAGGAAAGTTGGGGTAAGGGTTAGCGGTAGGGTTAGGACTATGGGTAGGGTTAGGAGTAGGGTTGGGGTAAGTGATAGGATTAGGGGTAGGGTTAGGTGTAGGGTTTGGGTTAGAGGTATGAGTAGGGTTAGTGGTAGGGTAAGGGGTAGGGTTAAGATTAGTGTTACGACACCCCTGGTGTCTTTAAGAGAAACCGCCGTTTAATTAACCTTCCACTTTTGCAATATCAATAACTCCATTCGCATAGACTGTAGTATACGAACCACCATCAGGGGAAGTGGTAATCTCCCGACCGGGATCCGTGAAAGGCTCCAAACTCCCGAACGGAAATCCACGAACTGCTGCTAGCCGCCGAACAACGATATCCACCAAGCCGCTTTCGGTTCCAATAATCAGTCTCTAGGCAAATAATAAATCCCCCCAATAATGAGACAGAAGCTCCGCATTGAGGGTCAAACAGGATCTGGCTTTACTGTGGGCTACCTGCCCGTATTTATGCAGGTCTCCCACTTGGTGGACACTCCCCTAGGGGACCAAATGGGAGACTGTAATGACAGATAGACATGGGGACATTTCAGACATACAGATGTAACCTTTTCCCACAATGCAATATGGGTTCCTCCCCTCTGCCCTGGAGATAATTTAGAAGTAATTCAATTATCTCCAGGACAAAGACAAATCGCAATAAAATGCCAGAAAATACATAAAAATACATAACTTTATAATAACCGAACATTTCACATTCGCATCACATATCCCCAGATAGCCTGGATCTGAGGGCATATTATTGGCGAATAGCGCTCAGATCCCACACACATAGTTCAATCGCCATGGAGTCAAAGTCCTTACAGTCTTTCGGTATGTGATTGACTCCATGGGAAGGCTATCTGGGTTAAGTCCTTTCGTGTGTTGTAAAACTCCCGAACGGCCGGTGTTCATACGCTTTTGTCGAGGCAGCCAGACGACCCGTTGTTTCAGTGGTGTTCGGCAGAAAAAGTGTCCGTTTTTAGTTCCATGAAATCAGTGCCGAACACCGCTGTGTTTTAAAATGGCCGCTGCCTTATGGTCGACATACGAACGACGGCCACCCTGAATTCGGTTTAATTGAGAAGTGTCGGCGGTTAACCACAACGTTCTAATTGGGATCAAGAGGTTAACCAGCAGCACACTTCTATCCTGGGTGGCCATCCGTCCGGTAGATTTGTTCGGTGAAAACAGTCATTCGTATGGCTGGGCTATAGAAACAGCCATTTACACGAAAGGGGGCAGAAAAAGACGAATCCACCACAATAGACAGACAGATGGTTCTGTCACAGTTAGGGTAAGAGGAAGGTTGGGGTAAGGGTTAGGGGTAGGGTTAGGGGTAGGGTTAGGGCCAGGGTTAGGGTTAGATTCCTGTCATCATTCCCTTAATTTTCCCTCCCTCTCCTGTTTTGCCACTTTTCAGAAATCCGAAGCACTTCGGCACTTCCGAAATTCGGCACTTGGGCAATTCGGTTTCGGTTCTGCACTTCCAAAACTGGCACTTCAGCAAGTCGGGACTTCGGCAATTTGGCACTTCACAAATTCAGTTTGATTCGGCACATCCGAAATTCGGCACTTCGGCACTTCAGAAATTCGACAATTCAGAATTCGGCAATTCGGACATACGGATTGCGCATGTCTACCAATTGGACACCTATTAACCCAACCCATCAAGCTGGCTGCCTTGGTGTTACTTTTGACTCGGGTCTTACCTTTTCTCCTCACATCCAGTCTGTCGCCAAATCATGTAACTTACACCTTAAAAATATTCCCGCATTCGCCCTGTTTAAATTCAAGATACATCTAAGGCACTTGTTCATGCACTCATCATTTCCCGACCTGACCCATTATTTAATATAAAATTAAAAACTCTGTATAAAGGAGTTGTAAATATATATTGTGTGCTCAGCACAGATGAAGAACAATAATGGAAGCAGTAATGAAAATTGTTACCTGGCAAAATGTGGTTCTGTTCCCAGATATTCCTTCCAAGGACTATACATCATGGAAGATATGAACTGCAAAGACTTCTGACTTGCTGAACATCTTATTTATTTATCTTTATTTATTTATTTATTAAGTCTTATCAACCTCAGAAGAATTAATGGCTTAGTCTCCCTTGTGAGTGAATTTAACATGATATTTGAACAGGTTTTCTCAGTTGATAAATTAACCCTGCCCCCCCAATCTATCAATCTATACATGCTTTTGAAATGCCGGAGTGTAGTTTTACTAACTGAAATATATCAAAAATTGTCATAACAACATTTTTTTTTATTCTCTTCTCAAATATGACAGTTCATCATAAACTATATCAATGTAAAACAACACGTGAGACCCTTAAAACATACCTATTATCTATCACCTTGATATACTTCACCTATTAGTTACCTGTGGGCATTAGTCAACTTATTCTGTTGTAAAAGCATGTTAGAATAAGAAGAAATCAGGTCACTCGTAAAGTTCATTTCATTGCCTCAAGCTAATTCTCTCTCTTAATTTTTTTTTTTAACTTTTTTTACTTAACTCACAATTTGCCTGGCAGCTATATATCCTCGTTGGTGCCACAAACTGTGAAAGCATCTGCAAAGTGATGAGAGATATTTCTAAAGAACAAAATTGATTTCATAACAATGTGACAATGAAACTTTTTAAAACTATGCACAAAATATTCTTCCATGACCTTATGTAAATATCTAGATTCCAAGGAGTCAGACACTCCTACAGCCATTAATCATGTTTAGTTTGATGCAGCAGCAGGATTGTACTGCTATATAGATATATATATTCCGAAATGTATAACATCTTGTGAGCATTTCAATTTACAGCAAATAAATTAAGCGTTATCTAGCAGAGTTATCAGTTGCATACCTATCAACATTTTAAATTGATATTTTAAAGGTGTAAGTAGGGAGTGTGGTCAGGGGTGCGACTGTTCTGAGAATGTTTAGGTGACTTAGCACAACTTATAACAACTTATGCAACTAAAATGTCATTTAGGGCAAAAAACAATGTATTTATATACACAGAGTGAATTCTAAAATCATCTAGTGTATTTTAAAGACACATTACTATTTATTGCTGTGGAGCTCTGAGGTGCAAACTGTAAAATGTTGCCTGGTAGATTCTGCAGGAACTGGCTTAATACCCAACAAGCTACTGGAAATCCTAGTGTTATGGTATGTGCAGGTGGGAGTATCTACAGTATAGTAACTAGGAGGTGCAGACTGCAAAGATGTTGCCTGGTATATTCTGCAGTAAAACTACAAAAACACTGGAAATCTTAGTGTTATGGTATGTGCAGGCGGGAGTACCTGCAGTATAGTAACTAGGAGGTACAAACTGTAAAATGTTGCCTGGTAGATTCTGCAGGAACTGGCTTAATAACCCACAAGCTATGGGTAGAGAGGGGTTAACTACCAAAACACTGGGAATCCTAGTGTTATGGTATTTGCAGGCGGGAGTATCTGCAGTATAGTAACTAGGAGGCGCAGACTGAAAAGATATTGCCTGGTATATTCTGCAGTAACTGGCTAAATAACCAACAAGCTAAGGGTAGAGAGGGGTTTAACTACAAAAACACTAGGAATCCTCCTATGCTTGTGGTCCCTAAGTACTTGTGCCTTCGAGGGCACCCCCTTAGCCAAAAGCCTACACTGTCCTATGGAAATACAAATAGAAAATTTCCCACCAATACTGCTACAATGAAAGAAGTGTGCTGGAAATGCCAAGACTTTGTAGGCTGCTTCAAGTGCTGCTGGGTAACGGTCGAGCCGATGCCGATAGAAAGCTCTATTTGGTATGGTAAGTAAAGAGGTCACTCTTAGTGCAGTGACAGGTCACTCTTAGTAAAGTGATTGGTGGATAGCGCCAGTGATGTTTCCCCTGACGCGCATTTCACCTCACAGGTTCATCAGAGGGGACAGAATTAAACAGAGCTAATTTTGTACCTGCTATTCTTTCATCCTTAGAAGTATTAAAGGTAGGGCATCCTCTCCCTTTCATTGTTACTCTCTCCTTAGGGCCTTCACTGGTCCACTGTATATATTTTTACTTAAAAACAGAACTATTCAAAACTGGTTGTCATTTCAGATGGATTCTGCAGAGTTTATCAGGATTATTTACTAAATTTAGAATTTAAAGTGAATTTTAAATTCAAGATCAGAGTAGCTGAAATGAAATCATAGCTGACTAAGATAATTTGTCCAGTTTGGTTTTTGACTCTGAATTTGAAATTCACTTTTAAAGGGAACACTATAGTGTTAGGAATATAATGCTGTTTTCCTAGCATTATCATGCTATTATGCCCCAACTTTGTTGGTTAGTTAGTTAGTTAGTTAGTTAGTATCACTTTGAGATCCAAAATGGTGAACAAAGCTTTGAAAATCTCACCAGCAGGTTACAAATCAACTTCAGTATTTTCTGATTTTTGGATTTTAAGGACATTTATGAAAGTATAAATAAAAAGTCATGAATGCACAAACAACCACGATAAAGGTATATTCAGACAAAGCTGCTATAGAGAATACTCAATACTCTCAATTTTTATGTAAGATGCATGAAGTCATCTTGGTACAGTTTAGTTTTGGTCTGTATGTCAAGAACCAGCTGTACCGGCTCAGTCTACTTATTCTAATTGTGGGTACGTGCTTCTTTCTACGGAGTATTAATTTCTCTCCATTTTACCTCTCTGAGCATTATAGTATTTGCTGGAAATCATGCATGATAACATATTGTGCTAAAAAGATATCACGTTACAATATGTTCCTATTTAACTGTTATTTTAACATCTGCTGGCAGTTGGTGCTTGGCGGAAAATGAACAGCACATGTGCTATATTACTTATAGTGGCCCCATGTATTATAAGTAATATGTGACGTCATTTGTTTATATGAAAAAGTCTATCTAAGGATTTTATTGAAGACCCATTTATTCCACAATGTGCCCAGCTATTGTACTATTTTACAAATTATACAGTATATGGAACAAATTGACATGCTCACTGTAACAGTAGCTGGAGTAACATGCCTGGATCTGTCCACAATACCTCTTTTGGTAATGAATTCCAAACTTTTAAACACTGTTCTGCAGAATTTCTTGAATATAATTGTGTAAAAGGGTTTTTGATGCAGATATTTTCCATCCCATCATAGGGGCTTGCTCAAACAAGTCAGATGGAACTGGTAGGCTTTTAAAAATATTAGGAGAAAGTTTTATGTTCTGCAAATTATTACACGGACGTGGCTTTTATTCATAGAATGCAGGTATATCCACCATGGTTGTTGTATGTAAATAATTGGAAAGGGTAATTGGTAGCAGGTATAATGAAAGAAAAGGTTCTGAGAGCAGGGAAGCGTCTAACAAGGGGATGTTGAGATTGTCTTCTTCTACCAGGTGGTATGATCTGGGTTTTTCTCACAATTTACAAATGGTTACTGAAACTCTACACTGCAATGCCTTCTCCACGCTACCATGGTTCTCCAGTTGGGCAGAGCATGGTAAAAAAAAGAAAACTATGCAAAGATAATTCAAGCAGCAAGACTTATTAGAAGTATCAATTGTAATGCCCACACTGGCCTGACAATGCCCTGACATGAGACAAACTATTTAAGGGCATTTTTCAAAACTGGAACCAGGTATAAAACCAGAATACCGTTTGGAGGGCGTATAAGAAAAATACCAGTTGCATGGTTACTAGAATTCAATTTTAGTGACATCGTGCATATGAATGGACCTATTTGCCTATACACCAACAAAGTCTGGCCCACGGTGGTACATTTTAGGGGATGGCAAGATTTTTATCATCACAGAATGTTCACCATTACTTTTTATCACTGGTCCTTACCCATCATTTTGATCAAGGTCTTGGCCTGCAAAACATGCAGGATATCTTCCTCCAGTGACATCTCTCCCTTTCACTGCAGGTGTAAAGAGATGTTCCAGAGGAGAGGCTGAAAGGAGGACTTGGGCAGCATCGGGGAGCTGTAGCCATTAGTCGGCTGATGACAGATGCCCAATATGCACAGCTTAAACATCACCCAGCATGGCACTCGTATTATGAGCTTGATAATGATGCTTAGAGAGGTGGAGTGATACCTCTGCCAGAACAGGACTGTATCTCTCTAAGCACCATGAGCACTTCAAATCACTGAAGTGGTCAGAATGGTTGGAGTATACCTTTAAAATACTCTGCAACTCTCTCCGGTATTTGATTTTTAATTTTTTTGAAGTCTCCCCTGATGTTTTGCCAGCGTTATGGCTGAATAGCGATATGGGAGATGTAATCCAGAACCCTGTCTAAGAGCAGACATTTGGTAGAGAAAATCCTCGCTATATAGACCCTCACAGTTTACTTTGATTCCCATTTAAAATTTAGGTACCAAGAAACCGAAATGTCATAATTTTTTCTATAGCAAGCATAATCTAACCTCTGCATCCCGTTATACATGTTATATAAATGATTGTCATCTGCATTCAATTCCTCCTGAAAGTAAATCAAATGGATGGAATAGAGAAAAGGAACATTGAGACTCAAGTGATATCTAAACATCTAAATGACCTAATAGAATTGGGAGTTTATTTATAAATAATAATCCTTTTTGACACAGTGTAAGAAAAAATAATATGTCCAAATGGCATCTGAACATGCCTGTAGCCAATTACATAGTGACTTCAGTAAAATTGTTTAATAGAGCAAAATGATTGCCCATAAATCGTAACCACACTTTTGCTACGATAACAGCTTAATGTGGGGAAAAACATTTATCCCATCACGCCATTAGATATATTTTTCTGACCCATTTGGAAAACGTGTCTACTAGTTTAAGTTCAATTTATAAGTGAATAAGTGAACTGAAGAATCAAACATAGGGATTTATTCACATAAACACCAAACTGTAAGACATTGAAAACAAATTTGCTAACTCTAGTAAAAAATATCCAAGCTATAAATATAGACGATCGATAATGCAATGATGGTCAAGTGCTGGAAGAAATTTGGTAGGATATGGTTAGTAGCAAAACAAACAAGCCAGAAGTCTCCCAGCTAACAAAATACAGTAATACCTCAGTTTACAAACGCCTCGGTTAACATAGTTTTCGGTTTACCATGAAAATCCATTGAAAATAATACCTCGGTTTACGAGGTTTTTTCGCAATACAAAGCAAGTTTCTGTATATTGTTTGAAAAGGTATTGTGAGCTGTACCTCATTCTAGTGTTCAAGATATACATGATGAGTGCCGATGCATGTAAAACATAAACGAGATTTTAAAAAAAACGGCAAATAGTGTAGTGTAATTTTTCAATTTAAAAATACGAAAATAAATAAAATAATACACACATTGATGAGAGCTATTTAAAGCTCTTATTGGATCTTAAATGGCATAATCCCACCTTCTTCTTATAAGGGTCCTTCTTTTGTCACAGATGTTCATCAGAATATGAAACCAAAACAAGAGAAACATGATATAGTGTAGTATATATACAAAGATAAAGCCCATTTAAAGGAAAAACACATTAGTGTTTTTTTACCATGTTGTCTTAACTACCTTAATTTTTTATTCTGTTTTAGTAAACATATTAAATAAAACAGTTAATATTTTATAATTCTGCATACCTAAGTGTCATGTACTATGTTAAAGGGACTCTCCAGTGCCAGGAAAACAATCTGTTTTCCTGGCACTGCAGGTCCCCTTTTCCTCCCACCACCCATCCCCTGGTAGCTGAAGGGGTGAAAACTGCAATAATTATAGAAAACTGCAATAATTAAACTTGCAGGGTTAAGGGTAGTGGGAGTTGGCACCCAGACCACTCCAATGGGCAGAAGTGGTCTGGGTGCCTGGGGTGTCCCTTTAAATCCAGTCCTGAAATGGTTTGGTATATAAATATAACAGAATGTTTGTCATATCCATTTTGTATACCATACCTGTACTAAAATATGCACTATACCTTGGTTGACTTATTTCCATAGACATTTTGTATCAAGAAAGTGTATGGAATTTTATTTAAACTTGCTCCAAATTGTCATTTCATTCAACTTTGTGTTCAAAAGAAGGAAGAGCAGATGTTTCATTTTATTTTTTAGAAGAGTTTTGTTTTATCTGAGACCTTGACTATGTGAGCTGTTTCTAAGTTTGGATGTCTGTGTGATTAATGACACCCCACCAAATCTCTCTTATTTAGGTCTCCTCTAAGTAAACGTGCATGTGCCTCCCGGACAATGAAAGGGTATACTAGGTCATTGTCATTTCCGTTAATGTAATACTGAATGAATAAATGCTTAGATGTACAGTATTTAGTCCATTAATTCATTTTAGCTGCAGGTAGTTCAGTTATTTTCGGAGCTCTTGACCTGTTTCCTTATCTGATATGATGCTAGTATGTTTAATTATTTACTAATAAGATACTAGTCATTTTATTAATTTAAACTTTTGGGATTCACCAAACAATTAATCATTTTATATCTATTTTATAGTCTGTTTGACTTTGTGATTAATTTACAATATGTCCTTCAATTAAGAGTTTAAGTGTTTCTGCTGTTTTGCATATTTCCTACACAATTTTATTCACTAAACTGAGAATTTTTGGTGAGTTCAAATAATTTAAAATTAAAGGACCACTCTAGGCACCCAGACCACTTCAGCTTAATTAAGTGGTCTGGGTGCCAAGTCCAGCTAGGGTTAACCCATTTTTTCATAAACATAGCAGTTTCAGAGAAACTGCTATGTTTATGAATGGGTTAAGCCTTCCCCCTAATCCTCTAGTGGCTGTCTCATTGACAGCCACTAGAGGCGCTTGCGTGCTTCTCACTGTGATTTTCACAGTGAGAGCACGCCAGCGTCCATAGGAAAGCATTGTGAATGCTTTCCTATGCGACCGGCTGAATGCGCGCGCAGCTCTTGCCGCGCGTGCGCATTCAGCCGAATGGGAGGAACGGAGGAGGATCGGAGGAGGAGAGCTCTCCGCCCAGCGCTGGAAAAAGGTAAG